AGAGATGATGAAGAGAATGGAGTACAATCTGATATTTTATAGACAGTCTAAATGTATTTAAGATCTACAAAAGTTTACTTTATGAAAACTTGGTAAAAGTTGAAGCATTTTTAGTTTGTAAATGAAGACTGGGGTAACACTTTATTTTAAGGACTTCTCGCTATTATTCTCACTATTAATTTGTTGCTTATTACCATGCATATTACTAGCATATTGGCTGTTTATTAGTACTTATACAGCACATATTAATGCCTTATTCTGCATGACCGTATTTTAGATCCGTTAGTCCACTCCGTACCTAAACTTAAGTTCAATTGAATTTAATGAATAAATTACATTTAAATGGACTCTTTTAAATGCAATCAAAATAAAGGGTTATGATTTGGATTTTTATTTAAATCATACATTTTAATTGTACATATTTTACTTATTTTAATATGCATTTTATTAATTTAATTTGTCTTTGGCGCTTCTACTACAGTTTCACGAACCCCCTACAATTTCCACTGTGGATCCCAAGTTGGGAAACCATTCATTAAAAACTACAAGTGCATATTGTTAAATATTGTATTTATTTAAAAAAAACATTTATTTCTCTACTTATGAGTGAATAAACTATATAATAGCTCACCCAAAAAATGAACATTTACTCACCCTCAGGCCATTCAAGTTGAGAACAGATGTGGAGAAATTTTGCATTACATCACTTGTTCACCAATGGATCCTCTGCAGTGAATGGGTGCCGTCAGAATGAGAGTCCAAACAGCTGATAAAAACATCACACTAATCCACATGTTTAGTAATCCCATCTTTAAAACAGAGAATAATTCAAATACCATTTCTAAAGTTCTTCAACATACAGTTTTACACACGCTGCGTTTCCAGAGGTTGTAACATCAAAAATACCCAATCTCTAAGGCAAACTCATGTTTGATCTGAAATACTGACATGTGATCTCATAAATGTCACCTTGCTGTTTTGACATGGGGTTGGATTGTTGTGTTTAATAGTGTGAGGTTGAACCGCATGGATCTCACTTTCATCTAAAACAGCTGAGTAATTGATTTACACATCTTTCAAAAAAGGGCTTGGCCAACTGTCATGTTTTTGTGGCTTGATTTTCTGCAATTGTCAATTTTTTATTTGATTTATTTGTTCTGTCAAAGTCGAAATGTGTTGTTTTGGAGCTCAACAGCCCATATCATGATTCATTTTCATTATAAGATCATCAACATGTCTCCTTTTGTGTTCCACAACTGAAAAAAAAAGTAATGTATAGGTTAGGAACGAGATGAAGGTTAGTAAATGATGACATTACTCTACAATCACCATGATTATCATGCTTCAGTACCCTCACATGAGTGTGGTTAACCTTGAGGCCTCTAGGCTAATGTTCTCAGTGACACTGAATATGCTTATTAAAAACAGCCATGACAAGTCGACCTGTAGCCAAAGTCCCTGATCTCACATCCAGGCTCAGTGTGGCGCAGTCAGATTCTGCACTCACTCAGTCACCTGTCAGAGGAAATTATCGGCCTGTCAGCTGCCCTTCTGGATGGCAGCTTGGATCTCATGCTGGGGGTGACCAGCCTTTCCTTCATAAAAATTCACAAACTCTTATTTTTGTTGTTGTTGTTGTACTGTACAGTTAATTGATTCATTGAGTCACTCATTCTTTCAAACAGACAATATTGTGTCTAAAATATAACAATATTAATTTCTTATTTATTGAATTGTTGTACAAAGTCAATATCATATTTGCACTCATGCTGTTCGGAATCGGGACAAAAACAGCACTCGTGTGATACTGCTTAACTATACCATATGTTACAGGGAGAGTGGGGATGGTTCATTTCCTTCAGGTTTTTAGAGGCGGTTTGTATCGAAAAGACAAAATTTTAATACAATAAAGCCACATCTGTCAGCTACCCACTCACACTGCTGTAAATATGTGTACATATGATAACATACATACAATTTATACTTGAATAGACAAAGTCAAATGTTGCATCTGACCCCATAACGGGATGGTTGCAACGTTCATTAAAATGTAATTAAAATCATTCTTAGATATAATTTTGCAACTTCTTTGTTTTATTTGTGCACAGACAGGGTATTCAATAAGTTAAACTGACTGTATAAAATCAAATTTGTAAATGAAAAAAAAAAACAATTTCAAGTAACAAGTAACAACCATGTTTTGGTTAATTAATTACATGTATTACAATGCATTTGAACTACAAACTATTAGTTTAATCAAAACCAAGGCACTAAAATTTAATAACAGCCTACTACTGTTAACATCTGTGAAAGTTTACTGAACTGGGGCCAGTTGCATAAACATAGTCACTATGTTAAGACTGTGTCTTTAAGAATTGTGTTTGACTAACTAGCAGTTAGTTACCAAGTGGTACTTTTCCGATTCAAATGAGACAAATATACATACACACATAGAAACAGACAGACAATATACATACAAACATACCATTTTATGAAACTGACTCTATAAGTAGGTGTGTGTGTGTGTGTGCATGTGATATATGTATGTGAGTGTGACAAAGAGAGTGTGAAAGAGAAGGAAATTAATCCACAGTCTCAAACTGATTTTTTATAAACCTATTTACTTAAAAAAAGGACAGATACCTGACTATGGAAAGGGGTTCTTTATTAATCTATAAAATGAAAATTTTGTAATGTTATGGCAAGCTTTTACATCAATGTTGTGGTAAGGGACAGCATGTTGGGACAGTTGCAGCAAAGTGTTGTCAGGTGAAAAAATAAGGATTCAGTAGCGAATGTGAAAAATGACAGTTTATTGAGAAGTCCCAACAAGGAAGAAGGCAAGAGTAAAACAGACAGGAAAGCCAACAGTCACTCTTGGCAGCGCAGGGACTCAAATGGGCAGCCGATTCCTCCAAGGTCCATGCAGCGAAATCCACAAGAGATGAGAGACAGAATCCACAGGAACCAGCCAGGATCAGAGAGACTCGAACTATAAACACAACAACACCAACGATCTGACAACACAGGACGGAAAGCACAGACATTAAATAGCTGAGCTGATAAGCCAAAGTTGGCGCTAATCAGCTGATTATCGCTGATCACTGGCAACACACACACACACACACACACACACACACACAGAGAGAGAGCAAGAATGAGTCAGTGAGCCCATAAACCGTGACAAGTGTTGCAACTGTTCCTACACTGACGGCCGTGATAAAACTTGCTTACTAACTTAAAATGTACTAACTTTAAATAGTCTTTGACACATGCTAGCTATACATTTTAGAAGCTCAGAAAACACTGATTAAAATGATATGACTTTACAATTCTTCACATAAACAGCTTAGTATGACAAAAAAATCTGATTAAAAAAACTATAAAAAAATCTATAAAAAATTTACTTTTTTACCATTCATTTTTTTTTGTTTTTGTGGAAGGAATGGTCACGTGGCTGCTTTCTTGCAGGAAGGATGAGGGGCTAATTGAACATGTGCAGTATGAAAATAATCACTGTAACTCATTCCTGATTGAAGAAATAAGCCTTGATGCAACTGCCCCTCATTGCAACCGTCCCCACTCTCCCCCTAAATATGAGACAAAAACTCAAACAGGGGCATTGTCAACGAACCGGTATTTGATTAACGTCGTATACTATGTGCTGAAAGCATTCGCTCAACATCATCATCTAATTTTTGAGAGGGTTGGCTTTATATATATACACGTGTATCCTGTGAAATTGTTGTTGAATAAACTATTCAAACACATACATCTTCCATAGACATAGGAAAGAACAACAAAACCTAAAATATGACAGACACGTGTAGGATTGGTGAGTAAATGATTTTTAGTTGGGTTCAATTTGCGCTGCCAAGTTAAAGGACATTTTCGACCCCAGCTTTCATCAGTTCATTAGAAACATGTGGAAATCACTGTCTCCTGTATAGATCTCTGAGAATGAAGGTTAAATCTAGTCAAGTAATAAACCTAAGCAGATTAAAAACAATGGCAGAGTGAAAAACAAGAATTATTTGCAAATAGATCAAGTGCCATGAGCAGCATGAGATTGATTAAGTTTCATTTTTTAACTCTGCAGATATTTAGAAGGTGTCAGATATGACACAAACTGCTAATGAGTTTATGCCAGGAGTACATACATAGCAGCAGACTCACATTTGCAGCTTCCAGTTTGCTGTCAACCATGTCTGTTGCCAGTGGCCTTTTCTTATGATTTAGGCTGGAAAAGAAACAGGAGAATGCATCCACAGCCTCTACTGATATTCTGAATTAATGTGTTACTTACAGTAAGTGGTGCGGGTCAGGCCAATGGCAGGAATGCATTTACAGTGATCACTCATTTAACCCAGAAATCACCCATTAACCTGCGTTTGATACTCCTCAGAGATTTGCTTGTAAGAATTACTTGAGTATGTGTGTGTTTTTGCTTATGTTTGTCTCTATGATGTAGTGATGTTAAATTCTTTCAATATGAGACACAGCTGCTCAAGTGCATTACCCTCTTGCCCTCATCCCGTGCCTGTGCTCTTTACTGATGAAAAGGCCACGGTGACCTACTCAGCTCTTGCAAAGTGGATGTATGTGCTTTTTCTTCTGTCAATACTGATTCAGGCAACTTATCTCTCTTCTTTCCATTTACAGTATGGCAGATGTTATGGCTGCAGATGGACAACAAAGACCCAAGAGCTGTGGTTGGATATTAGGCTGGAAAATGTTACACAGAATCTGTGTGCAAAAGAAAAAATAAGAGTGTTATGTTTTAGATGTTTTTATTTTACACATTTATTTAAAAATTACACATACATTTAATTTGGCATTGGCCTTTCTACTACAGTCTTACAAATCCCTGCATTTCCATCGTGAACCACAGTTGTTTTCGCAGAGAGGCCTGTTTTCACCTATTATACCATTTTTGGGATTTTGCTGTTAGCCATATCCATTTTAATCAACATGGCTTCCCAGGTAAGAATTGTAGCTTATAAAAATATTGTGGGAACATTGTTTTGAAATGACGTTGACATGTCCAGATATCTTGTGGTGATTGTACGTTATATATCCCCCTCAAAACCCAAACTGCACCTCATTGTGGTGTGGGGGTGAACACCAAGTTGGGGATTGCTTATTGAGGCTATATCACCAGTAAAGAAGGCTATGGTTGAGGTATCACCGTGGGTGTTACTCGTGGTGAGCAGGCTCAACTGAGAACCCTGAAAACAGTGGCCAAAGCAGGTGGTGTCCCTTCAAGCCTGGGGTTATGGGCTTAACCGCAGGGCAGCAGCTTCGACTGGTGTATATAAGGCGGACAAACTCTGTAGTGAGTCAACGGGTTCGTTGTCCAGAGACGATACATTACAGGATTCGGCTGTGAAATGTTTGTCTTAACTTCATGCCATCGGGGTCAGGCTTTAGGCAGCTTTTTTTCTCTTTAGTTGGGATGAGCTAGAAGACCCCTGCAACCACTGTGTGCACCAGTCATCTTGGGTTCTCCCGTGCCACTTGACTAATGCCGCAGCGGCCAAGGTAGTGGACTAAGGATTGCGCAAACTTCCTCCACTTTAAATATCCGAGCATGGGACTTTTCATTGCTACCATACCGTATTTTTAAGTCCTGCGGAGACAGGCTCAGTGTGGAGCTGGAAGTCTCTAGTCTGTGATCTGTATGCAGGCGGCTCCGGTCAGATTATCGTTGGAACAGCAACAGCAGGCTCCTTTGGCAGCTTCCTGAGCAGTCCTATTCAGGATCGTATGCTCACGTCATACGAGGAGGGACCTAGAAAAGGTGGTCCAAACATTGTCTGTTCCACTTCCCCCAGATGGACCTCCGCTCCCGTCGGGGCATCCCTTTCTTGTGGATGAAACTTTAAAAAAGCCAAACATACTTATAATTTTGCTATTAGCATTAGCATTAGTCGCTGCTGAGCTAAACAGATCGACATTGCTGCTTTGAGCGAGACTAGGTTGCAAGATGAAGGATTACTCACCGAAGTTGGCGAGGGCTATAGCTTCTTTTGGAAAGGTCTCCCAGCCAACTCCTGACTAATTCACGGCATTGGTCTCGCCATCCGTACCACTCTGTTAAACCAACTTACAGAGACTCCAGTAGCTCTAAGTGAAAGATTAATGATGTTTTCATTATTTGACAATCATTAAAACAACAATAATAATAATAAACATTTATTTGTATAGCACTTTTCAGACAGTACATAAAATGCAACTGAAAGTGCTTCACAAGCATAAAATCAAATAAAATCAAAATCAAGCAACTATAAAAGGTTCAAAATGTAAAACAAAGCATATAGTTTGACCTCAATATCAATATAAAATAATAAAACAATGATACAAGTATCAGAAGATAAAATAAAACATAAAAACGGACTTACACACAACTTCACACCACATTGTTATACTGATAAGCAACTTTAAAAAGATAAAAATATATTTAAAAAAAATATGAATGCTGGTAGCCTTTTACTTCAGTTGGTAGACAATTCAAAATTTTTGGAGAATAATAGCTAAAAGAAGTACCACCAGATCGTTTATGATTTACTGTATAATGTGCTAGAACAGTGCTTCTCAACTGGTTTGGCCATGGGACCCACATTTTCCCATAGTCATCAAGCCGTGACCCACAAAAAAAAATATCATACCTCCATGCAAATCCTTCCCAGCTAACACACGAAGTACCAGTTATGTGATTTATTGGTACTTTACTTTTATTTCACACATTGCATGCTCGTAGTTTCTTTTGCGCTTTAGTGAAATGATATACAGCGTGCGCCGCCGCATTTGCACGTGCATTTGAAGAGTGCGTGCTACAAGCACAGTATAACGTCTGACAGGACAGGATAGTTCATTTTTCTGAGGTAAGAGACTTTTTTTTTTCATAACAAGTTACAAAAATAACGATAGAATAATGAGACTAACATCTCATCTGACCGCAGATACTGAATCGGGACAGCACATTTTTCTCAGGCAGTCTTTACTTAAACGGCAAAAAAAGTGTAAACAGCTTTCACGCACATCTTTCAAAATAAAAGTCTCGCATCAGAAAAACATTTAGAATTACGTTTTTTGTTGTTGATGTTTTGACCGTACACTCCATGACCCACTCAGAATGGTCTTGCAACCCACTTTTGGGTCGCGACCCACCAGTTGAGAAACACAGTGCTAGAAGACTAGCACTAGAGGATCTTAAATTACAATTTGGGACATATCTCGACACAGCCTGAAATGTATAGAGGTGCCAGATTGTGCAGTGTTTTATAAACCAATAAAATAACCTTAAAATCAATTCTTTGATGGACTGGAAACCAATGCAATTCCATTAACTGGTGTAATATGCTCTCTCCTTTTGTGTTTCATTAGTACTCTGGCTGCTGCATTTTGTATCAGTTGTAACTTCATTATAGAACCCTTAGGCAAGCCAGTATACATAGCATTACAATAATCAAGATGAGAGAAGATACAAGCATGAATGAGTTTCTTAGCATTCTCCAAAGATAAAAAAAGGACAAATCTTGGCAATATTTCTAAAACGATAAAAACAAGTTTTTATCTTGATTAATATGAGACTTAAAACTAAGGTCACAGTCCAGAATGTTAAGTTTTAACTTAACATCCACTTTATCCACATCATCCACTTTGAAATGTATAATTGTATATCATCAGCATAACAATGTTATATATTTCTGAATTATGCTGCCCAAAGAGAGCATATATAATGAAAATAAAACTGGCCCAAAAACGGATCATTGTGGCACACCATGTAATATTTCATGTCTTTGACATGCAATCACCTATTTTAACTAAAAAGTTCCTTTCTGTAATATACGTTTTGAACCAATTTAAAACATTACCGGAGAGACCTACAAGCTTTTCCAGTCTGTTTAGCAGAATACAATGATCAACCGTGTTAAATGCTGCACTTAGATCCAAGATTATTAAAAGTGATGCATTACCTTTATCGGTATTTAATCTCACATCATTTACTACCTTTAATAGTGCAGTTTCCGTATTATGACCTTGTCTGAAACCAGACTTATATTTCTCCCGAACATTATATTAATCTAAAAATGTATTAAGCTGTTGAAATACAACTTTTAGAATTTTACTAAAATTTTACTCAAAATTGAAATGTTAGAAATTGGTCTACAGTTATTAAGGAGAGAACAATCCAGGTTTTTTTTTTTTTTTATGCCTGTCTCCAGGGAACAGTTAACTATTTCAAGGAAATAATCTATCAAACAGTGCGAAACTTCTTTAAAAAATGCTGTTGGTATAGGGTCGAGATAGCTGGAAGAGGAATTTAGCTGAGAGATCATTTGCAGAAGATTCTCTTTATTAACTATCCTGAACATTTCCATTTTATGGTGTGGATAACTTACCAATTCGTCCATGTAAAAATGATCAGTATGATCAATAACATATCTGATCTGTATAACTTTATTATTGAAAAATGTTGCAAAATCTTCGCACATATTTACACAGGGCTGATCTAACAAATTATATGCATTTTTATTTAAAAGACGATCTATAGTAGAAAAAATATTCTGGGATTTGTATTATTTTCGTTAATCATTTTTGAATAGAATTGTTATCTTTCAGAGCGAACTGTTTTTGTATATTCCAAGATGTTAATCAAAAGACTCTTGTGGTGAACAGTTAATTTAGTTTTTCTCCATAGACGCTCTGATTTATGGCATTCCCTCTTCAGCCGACGGATGCATTAATTTTCCCATGGCATATTCTTAGATATTGATCTTTTTTTTTTATTTTCTCTGGAGCCACTATATGAAGAGTTGATTTCAAAGAGACATTAAAACTATTAACCTTATCATGTACAGTAGGTATTTCACTCAAAGATAAAGGTGTTTGTCGAATATCATTAATAAAAGACTCAGAAGTCAATGTATTAAAAATGCTTTCGAATTAATTTTTCTTTGGGATGATGTAAGTACTGTAAGGAATTTAACTCATTAATTCTATAAGGGAATTAATCATTAATTTTATTTCTAGCTCAGGTTTTGAAAGGACTCGAATCTGAAAATTCGACGTCCACCTGATTAGAACTGATTTCAAATTTCAATAGTTTACACCTTATCAACGGTCGTCCAGCGAGCCGTCAAATGTCCGTGTATCTTAATCTAACTGTGTATTTTCCTTGGCCACAGGATAATACGTTCTTTGATAAGTAAGCTACGAGTTAGGTAACGTAATCTTGGCAATGTTTTTGACTTTAAAATTTTGACGACACCAGACAATACTTCTTTATAAATGAAAACGAATTTATTGGCTATTCTAGATTACATTAAAACTAAGCTATATCTACTTCCTACAATGAAGTATATTATTAATTTTATAATCAAAAAATAAACTAAAATGATTATTTAATTTACGTTAACATTAATGTCATGTGAAATTATGAAATCAAGCGTATGCCCTTTATTATGTGTAGGTCCACAGACATGTTGTGTAAAATTAAATAATTTAAAACCTCCAAAATCTCCACTGTTTTACGATCAGCTTTATTATCGGCATGAATATTAAAATCACCCACAATCAGAATTTTATCATAATTGGTAACACACGGAGTTAAAAGTTCAGAAAAATCAGATATAAAACACGGGTTCTGCTTAGGAGGTCAATATACTGTATTATAACAACTAAACATTTACATTCTAATATTTCTATTTCTAAATACTCAAAAGTAGTAAAATCATCGAAAACAATCTCTTTACAGGCCAGTGACTGCAAAAATATAGCGTCTACTCCACCACCCCTCTTGCCACAGCGAACCTTTTGAAAAAATGTATAAGCTTGTGGACATGCCTCTATAAGTGATATAGCCCCATTTTGATCAAGCCAGGTTTCTGTTAAAAACATAAGATTTAAACTTTTTCTCAAGAAAAATATCATAAATAAGAGATGTTTTCCCTGCAATTGATCTTATATTAAAAAGTGCCATCTTTAGTCTGCCTTCATTTTGCAGAGAAGCCTTACAGGTGCTATTTAAATCCTTTCTCACTATCGATACCAAATTTGATTTTCTCTGATGATTATATCATCTATTTTGATTATTCCTAGAGGAGCAAACAACTTCAATGTTATTAACCTGCTTGCATCCCTGTTCTAAATTCAGGGGTTTCAAGATGTAGCTTCTTACAGGGATGCTAGATACTTGTCATAACTTGCTATTGCTCTTTCAATGTTTCTCGACAAGAAGTATGCTCCAGTCCTACTGGGATGTATACTGTCTGCATGATTAAATCGCACTCTCTCCAAGAAGAGATCCCAATCATTAATGAAACCCAAGTTCTGCATAACGATTCTAGCCAGTTATTTAATGCAAAAATTCTGCTGAAGTATTCATTACCTCTTCTATATGTTGGCAGTGGTCCAGAGATTAAAATCCTTGTTCCAGGCGATGTATTGCGCACAGCTTGCACCAGTTCATTAAAATCCTTTTTCAAAATTTCTGATTGTCGCAGTCTAATATTATTCACACCAGCATGCAGAACAACATTAGCGATTATGCTCCCACTCTTACATCTGACGATGCAACCAAGAACAGTTTTTATGTAGCGCACTCTGCAGTACTTCGCTCTACACCTCCCGATGTCGAAATTGTCCTACTCAGTGATTTCAATGTGCGTGTCGGGTTATCATGTGTGGAGTGGGGTCATAGGAAGACACGGAGTTGGAAACCCCAATGACAATGGCCTTCGTCTATTATATAGCTATGCCCAATTCGATCTAACAATCACTAACACATTATTTCAGCTGAGAAATCAACAAAAGAACACCTGGATGCATCCTAGATCCAAGCACTGACATTTATTGGATTATGTGATTGCACGTCACTTAGACATGCATGATGACATGCATGATGTCTTGCCGAATGCTGGACAGACCATCGCTTAGTGCGTGCAACTATGAGATTGTACATATGACTGGCTGTTCAAAGACAGAAACCTAGACGACGTCTCAACGTTAAGGCTTGCAATGAACCTACCATCAGAAGTGCACTTTCCAATGCAATTTCCACCAAGCTGCAATCCCTGCCTGACCTTGTTCTGTCTGAAAACAGGACCATGTCTTCGCTTACTGAAGATTGATCGATACTCATCAAGATTATCATTGAGGCATCCACTGAAACTCTAGGCTATACAACAAGGAGGTACCATGATTGGTTTGATGAGAATAACATCGGCATCTGCAAGCTGCTCCAAGCAAAAAATGAGGCGCATGGTGCCTTACTCCACTTGTGAAGCTGTGCCGATCTACTTAACAAATGGAAACATGTTCGCAATCATGTTCAGAAGGACCTGCGCCAGATGGAACATGTCTGGTGGGTAGAGAGAGCAAGAGAAATCCAACAATTTGTTGATACAAATGACATGCACAACTTCTATGCTGCCATTAAGGCGGTCCAAGTCATCATTCTGTGCACCCAGTAAGGTCAAAGGGTGGTTCTACTTTGTATAAGGATCACAATGATATCCTCCTGCAGTGGGCAGAATATCTGAGAGAACTGCTCAACTGCATCAACCCTGTTGACCTTTCCTACTTGACAATCTTCCGCAGCTTCCACCCCTAACTATACTCGATGCCTGTCCATCTTTACATGAGGTACGGAAGCTGTGAAGGGACTAAAAAATAATAAGGCTGCTGGCCCTGACAGCATTCCTGCTGAAAAATATCACAGCAGTGGATGGATGTTAACCTCATCACAATATATAAACGTAAGGAAGACAAAGCCAACTGCAGCAATAGAATAGGCATCTCACTTCTCTCCACTGCTGGTAAAGTACTTGCTCGTGTAATGCTTAGCCGCCTTCTTTCAAATGTGGTAGATGTTATTCTTCCAGAATCTCAGTGAGGCCTCAGGCGCCACTGTGGTACTCTAGACATGATCTTTGTTGCGAGACTGCTGCAAGAAAAATGTAAAGAGAAGCATAAGGATCTGTACAGATCATAAGGCCTTTGACACA